AACTCCTCTGCTCTTCACTGAGCAAACCAGCTCAGCTGCTCCTCATACGCCTTGCCCTCCAGACCCTTCTCCATTTGTAGCCCTCCTCTAGACACCTCTAACAGCTCTATGTCCTTTACCGTTTCTTGGGCAGCTTCAGCAGGGCCATATAGTTGAGGCAGAAGTTGATGAGGTCCTGCAGCAGCTCCTCTCCCAGGTGGTCCTGAATGGCCTAGGGGAAGAGAGGGGTCGAGGAGAAAGCAGTGAAGGGACCGTGGAGCAGCAATCCTCATAGAATCACAGTGCGGTTGGGTTGGAGGGGACCTCAAAGCCCAGTCCCACCCCGTGCCGTGGACAGGGCTGCCCCCCACCAGCTCAGGCTGCCCAGGGCCCCATCCAACCTGGCCGGGAACACCTCCAGGGATGGGGCACTCTGGGGCCACCTGCACCCAGTGCTGACCCACCTGTTTGGCCACAAGCCGCCCATTCTTGTACTGCACGGTGCCATTCTCGGCAAAGACGTAGTCAAACTTATCGACGACTGAAAGGAAGGAGGCAAAAGTCCGCTCGGGTCATCAGCGAGGACAAGAGGTGCAATGGGGACACCCGGCAGGCCGCACGTCTCCCTGCCCGCGGGCCGCTATCTGCAGCGGGCAGGTGGGCGGCTGACGCAGACGGGCAGCGACCCGACGGTGTCACCGCCCCGGACAAGATAAGCGCACGGAACGTCATGCGCTCTGCCACGTGCACCCATCGCTCCATCCCCGCCGCGGTGCTCGGCGGCGCGGGGATGGGTTACCTAACGCAGCCCCCGTGCAAACACAGCGCCGCTGACTCAGCCCTCCGAGCTAACGAGGCGGAAGGGAGACCTTAGGACTCGCCGTGCACAGGGCACGGATCTCGGGATGGAAAACGGGGCGGGGGACTGCCCTCCCTGCGCCGCGTCTCCCCGAGCCCCGTTCGCGCCGCGCACCTTCGTCGCCCTCTCCCAGCTGCTCGGCGATCTTGGAGTAGTCGGAGCCCCCAACCACGCCGATCTGCACCCTGCCGCGCAGCTCCTGCAGGAAGCGGTCCACCTCCGGTTCGATTTTCTGCGGGAGCGGGAGGACGGATGAGAGGGGCCGAGCCCGGCACGCAGCCCCCCGCTTCTCCTTCCTCCTGCCCCCCCTCCGCCCGGCCGCGCTACCTGCCGAGCCGGCGTCAGCGTCCCGTCCACGTCGAAGAGGCACAGCACCCGGCCCCGCGCCGCCGCCATCCCGCAGTCTCTGCCGGAGCGCAGGGGCGGCCCGGGGGCGGGACTGCGCCGCGGCGCCATCGTGCGGCCGCCGCTCCGGGAGGTGCCCGGCAGCCGCGGGCAGGTGGCAGGCGGGGGCGCAGCGCCGGGACCCGGCACCGCTCCGCGCGTCGGGAGCAGCCCTGCCGCCTCGGGGCACCTCGTCAGGTGGGGCTTCTATTCCGGAAAAGCGGTGCTGCATTGGAAAGGGCTGCTCACTGAGGTGGTGCAGTCACCGTCCCTGCAGGTGTTCCAGAACCGTGTGCATGTGGCACTCAGGGACGTGGTCAGTGGGCAGGGTGGGGGTGGGCTGGTGGTTGGACTTGAAGATCCTAGGCATCTTTTTCAGTTTTAACGATTCTGTGGCTCTGCAATTCTCAGCCCAACAGAGGTGTGATGAGCCTCTTGTCCAACAAACCCCTTCTGTCTGACCTCCATCCAGCTCATCCCAAGCTGCACCAGCCCTCAGAGAAAGGTTCTGGGGCTGTTGGTCTGTGCTTAACTGACTATGAGCCAGCAGTGTGCCCAGGTGGCCAACGGCATCCTGGCCTGTATCAGCAATAGTGCAGCCAGCAGGAGCAGGGAGGTGACCGTCCCTCTGTACTCAGCTCTGGTGAGGCTGCACCTTGAGTGCTGTGCTCAGTTCGGGGCCCCTCACTACCAGAAAGACATGGAGGTCCTGGAGTGTGTACAGAAAAGGGCAGCAGAGCTGTGAGGGGTCTGGAGCACGAGTCTGATGGGGAGCAGCTGAGGGAACTGGGGTTGTTGAGTCTGGAGGAGGCTCACTGCACTCCATGACAACCAGAAAGGAGGTTGTAGTGAAGTGACGCTGGCCTCTTCTCCCAGGTAACAGTGATAGGGTGAGAGGGAACAGCCTCAGTTTGTGCCAGGGGATGCTCACATTGGATATTAGAAAAAAAATCTGTAAGAGAGGTGCTGTGCTGGGACAGGCTGCCCAGAGAGGTGGCAGGATCACCATGCCTGCAAGTGCTTAAGAGTAGCAGTAGCCACACTGAGGCATGTGGTCTAAAGCAGTCACAGGCAGGGGCTGAGAGCTGGACTCAACAACCTTAGCGATCTTTCCAACCCCAATGATTCTGTGGCCTCAATAACATACTGCAGCACTTGCAGAAGTTCCCCAAACTTCATGAAGAACACTGCCCACCAGCAGCCCACACCCAGGGCAGTCGGCACTGCTCCTTTCCCAAGCAGAACGTGGCACAAGTTACTGGGATCATTTCTGAGCGTACAACTTCCAGGCAGAAACAACATGAGGTAGATTAAGTAGATTCCTACCTGGGGTGGGTGTGCAGAAAGATGCATACAAACAGGATTACTTTTTTTAATTGTAATAGAAAAAAAAAATCAAAACATCACTTTCTGTCTAAAGATGTAATTAATGAACATTTCTTAAACGACATGGAGGGAACCCCAGAGATACACAACAGATCAGGAAGCACAAGCAAAGGATTCTGCTCCCGTTCAGGAGTGCAGCTGCCCTACCCCTTTGTCAATGAGCTGGCTGAGGTTTGCCACCTCTATACACTTACATACATGTCTCATTCTAGTTTATATTCCTATGAGCACATAGGGCTGGGAGGAATGGCTTGTGCAAGTTACACTTAAACATCTTTGGAGAAAATGGATTTCCTAAGAGGCCTACAGGGCACAAGGGTCCTGTTACCCAGTAAGGTCAAATAAACAGGACCTCTTCCTACAGATCCTTTACACAAAACACAGAGTAGTTCCGGAGACAAGGAGGCCATCTGGGAGCACCATCACTGCTGCAAACAGAGTATGTCTGAAAAGTGTAACCCATGATACGTTCTGAAATAGGCAGGCAAGCAGAAACTGGGCTTAGGACCTCTGAAGTGGACACACTTGTCATGAAACAGAGCGCATAGAGATCAAGGTGCCTGCACACCCTCTGCTGAACAGCTGTACCAGCAGATTGCTGTACCTGGACAGACAGTTTGCTGAAAGAAACAGCCACAGCTGTGCTGCTGGTGGGTACCAAGATAGCATACCCAGATGTTGTGCTGCATTGTATCAGCTTTGGTATACCTGATTGTCTGGGGAAGCTCCATGATGTCTCATGTGTTTCTGCATTTTGTGGTATAGTCATGTCTGCAGGAAGATAAGAGACCAATTCCTCTTCACAAAATAGGCATCAAGAGAGTTCAGAGGTGATACACAGACAGCAGAAAAACTAAGCTATGGCTTCTATGGCTTAGCAGAAAGCAAACCTGAAAAATTGTTCCCCAGACCACCAGAAGGTGCTGTATGGTAAATGATTTACTACAGAATGCTTTCTGCAAACAGTAGATTTTGTTGGGGAGAGTCTGAAAGCTCTTGCATCTATACTAACTGCTACAGCCCTCTACTAGTCCAGTCCAAATGAAACACTCCAGGAGAAGCTGATGGCACAAGCAGGGACTGAAAGATAAAACAAACAATCACCACCAAAAACCATTCTGTGGTGCAAAGGCCATCTGCACTGAGAGCAGTCACACATAACTGCAAAAGGGACAGACAGTACCCGATTTCCACCCATGTAGTGATTCCACAAGGTGCTGAGCAACAGTGCATTGGGCAGAGTGAGATAACTGCATTTTCCTCCATTCCAACCCCACAAAAATATTAAGTGTTAGTCTGCTCTGACTAACAGCACGAGAAACACACTGATTAGTATTATTCTGAGAGAAAGAGCTCAGCAGGGGAAGGACACCTCCATCAGGTATGTGATTTCCAGCACAGGAAACTGAAGATGCAGCAGCTGTTGTCACAACAAAGCACTGCACACAGGACTACACATTTGCACAGACACTTTTTTTCCAGCAGTATCTGAGATGTGCAGTGCCCACTTGCAGGGCAATGTTCTGGGGTTTTTCTGATGTTGTTGTGTACCTTCCTAAGCATACTTGCTACAGAACTGTTCAGGAAATTAGTGTATATACGTGCACAATAAGAAATCAGTGGGCCTGTTCTTTTCTTCCTGTGATCTTTTTCTGCTGTGAATAACTGTAAAGCTGTAAGGATCTTAAACTAGAAGATGCAGCACTGACACAACCTAATGTCGATCTAAGGACAGGACTGCTTCTCCACCTATCACAATCAACTCAATTGTTCCACAGGAAAGCTTAATTTTACTCTTCCTTGCTTTCTTTAAATGCAGGGGGATGTACCGCCTGCTTTTCCTCATGCAGCCCTCTGTGATGTAGTTGGCTGCTTTGCAGTGTCAGAAACAGCTGGAAGCCTTACCATGTCTGCAGCAAAAGACTGAAGACAGAGCTGAGCTACATCATGTTACCAAGAGACTGCCGTGCTGTAAGTCTTGCTTATTAGAAAAAACAGCTCCTGTGCAAAGGCGAACAGTTAACAAGGTTCTATCCATCACTTCCATCACTCACACAAGATTTTGTTCTTTCAGCTGCTGTCTCTCATAACACTTGGATCTCATGAGTATTTTTCAGATACAGCCTCCCTCCAACACACATACTGGAAGTTTCAGCCTTGAAAGTGACACTGCCTGGTTCAGCTGGGCCACCTTTCTCACTGCTGTGCCACTGAAAATACTCCTATCAAACGAGTTCAGCTTTTCCCCTGAGCAAATAACACAACGTTAATGAAATATGCACAAGACAAGTACTGGGACACCTTCACTTCCTCAGCTACAAGGATCTCCCTTGCTAGGGACTGGAGCAAATACCCCCGTAATATTGACAGGGACAAGAGAAAGACACACGAGTATGCAAGGGATGGCTAGGACACCCCCTTTACTTCAAAACGCATAATGGGCTTGAATGCTCATGGAATGAATTCCCACTTCCCAGCAGAGGAATTAGTTAGAAAGTATCAGCCTAACTTCAGGCAAGACAGCCTTTATAAATTAGCATAATACTATTAGAAATTATGGCAATCTTTTTGGTAGCCTTGTCTTGCATGCACCCTGATAAATCCTCTCCCTAAGAAATTTTAAAACTGGTCTTGTGATTTCCATAGAGTTAATTCAGATGGGAAATTATAAAATAGAAATCTGGAAGATTCGTGCTTAAAAAGGAAGAGGCCTGGTGAGGCTGGGCACAGCAGGGCACTCCTGTTAGCTCTGTCCATTATCCCTGTTAAAGGTATTTCCTCCAGGTGGTTGCAACTGGGTGGTGCTCAGGAAGGGCCGTAAAGCTTGTCCAAAAGGTCTGAAAACGCAAAGAAATAAGTATTTAAAATAGTTTACTTGAACATTTCCCATCCCCTCCCTTCCCACCCCCCTCCCCTCATTTACAACTCCAGTCTGTTCATCAGCTTTCTTCTACAATGTTGGTTTGATTCTAGACTCTTTTCACTACAAAAAAAAAAAAAAAAAAAATAGAATTTAACCTATTAAACAGAATTTACTGTTCCATAACTAAACAAAGCCAGATTTCAGATTCTTAAAAGTAGTTCTGAGTCCTAACATGCCCACAATGATATTATGGTAATAACATGTCTGAAACTGGCTTCAGTAACTCACACTGCTTAAGTTTGTGATTGAAATCTGTATTATGCAACTGCAGTTCTCCATTAAGTATCACATCAATATTAAAGACTCTGCTAGAAGAACAGATCTAGTCCCTTTATAAAGACAGTGGTTCAACACACAGAATTTCTGTTGCAATCTGTAGTTTGCCTTTAGGTATGACTCACTCTGCTATAGACTACAGACAGATCTGAGGAAATAAGAGCCCAGAGTGGAAGATGTGTCTCCCAAATAATGCAGTATACCACTTACAAGACCTAAATAATGAAGCCCAAATCATCCCACTGGGATCCTTGCTTGCTCAGAGCACCACAGAAATGGTTGAACTGACCTACCTTTATTTCCTCTCCCCCCATTCTTCTTCATCACTCATTTCTAGTTCTAAAACTGCAGCTTTAACTTTAAAATTACATCTCCCCTTCTTCTTTGCAGGCAAAACTAACACCACCATGCACTTACGGTGCTTAGAGTATTACAAGTGATCTCTGAGAGGTACTGATTTCCCAAAGAAAGACAAAGACAAGAAAGAAGATACACAAAAAACCCACCAAGAAACAAAAAACATACTGGCATCACTTTCTGAATGATCTTTTAACCTTCTTGTCACATTAACTAATTATTTTATGAAGGTCTTTCAAGTTAAAGACTGAAGAACCCCCTTCTCAGTAATACCAGTGCCAGTTAGTACCTGTTGTAATCTCCCCCTGCTTCCCACAGAGAGACAGCACAAACTGGTACTGCTGCCTCTGTCAAATATTGAAGCATTAGCATGAAGCAATATGCTACAGAGAGAAGCAGAATGCATACTCACGTGGCAAGAACTTCAGATGGAAGGTCAGTGATGTAGGAAGGGATTTTTCTTCCTGTCAGGAACTGTGCCACTTCATTACTGAAGGTGTTGCAGTTACGTTCAAAGAAGTGGTAAGACTCACTCCTGTGCCACAGGAAAGGGATTGAAATAAGAGACTCAGCAATACATCTATCAAGCACTAAGACATAGATTGCTACTGAGGAGCATCTCCTTACATTAGCACTTTCCTCCTCTCTCCAACAAAGGGCTCTAAGGCAAATAGGTAAAACACAGCAGGTGAATTGATGTCTAATTTAATTGAATCAGGGTGGAAAATGACATCTCTCTGCATCACTGATTCTATACAATGGTTTTTTGAAGGTTAAGTGAAGTCAGGCTTCTTCATGTAAAACCACAGAAGGAATAAAGAGAAATCACAGGAACTGTTGGCACTGAAATTCAGCCAGAATACTGAAGGCCACCATTTTCTGTTGTGAGAAGTAGATGCGACGTTTTAGCAGTCAAGACTTTGCTTTTACTCAGCTGAAAGTTGGCTTTACTACACCTCACCCATGATTCACAGGGCATTATTTTCTGAGATCTTTCATACAGTGCCTTCGTTTTCCCTGGTGATCACCTCAAAGAGATTTCAAGCATTATTCCATTAAAAAAAAAAAAAGTGAGAAAGACTTCCTGGCAGAATGCTTTCCCAACCTAGCTCATGGCTGGCTGGCACACCACAGGTTGTCTAGCTCTGCATCAGTTCCAGCCTCATCTCTGGAGACTACTAAGTAATAGAACAAGCAGACAAGGCTTATTCATAATACTTTCTTCATTTCTGCACCCCTCTCCTTAGAAGCCTTTTCTTGGTACTCAGATCATACAGTACTAGCTGCTACTTACCGGAACATAGACTCCCCCAAGGAAGAAAGATATTCCAGAAAGATTTCTTCTGTAACTTCAGTGTTCCCCAAGTCAATAACTGAGTCTGGGGGGCCAAGAAGCGTCCCTCCCTGTAGGAATTAACACCCAGAAGACTATTCAGATCATCACACCAAATTATTTTTGGCTCCACTGAATTGAGCCTTCATGGCTTGTATAGGCACACAAGAAGAAACTTCTAGTGAGTTTATCAAGGAAAGGGCCCTACTGGCCTTCCATTTTCCACTCAGAGACTGAGAGGCAATGTGCTGCACTCTAAGCTCTGACAAAATTCTGCTTTAAAAGAATCACGCATCAGTTTTGTGTCTCCAAGAACAGAAAAAGGTCTGTTGAAGCATCACGGATTTTTTTCTTTAACCTTGAGAAGGATGCTTTGAGTTGCCAAGCCTTCATGCAAAGACCATGCATATAAAATCAGACAGAGTATCACTGACAAAGCAGCTGCAGAAAGAGTTTGTCTATCCAGGGCACCATCAGTGGAAGTAACCCTCTAGCCTGTATTTGGCTGCGCTTGAACCCACTGCCCAGTTCCTTTCCTCAGATGGACAGGGCAACCACAGGAAGCAGCCATATCGGGCTGAACTCGGAGTTCTCTTCACTTTCTGCTTTTCTAAAGGACACGAACAAATCTAATGATGAAATTCTATCACAAAGTTAACAGAAAAGTTTCACTTACAGGTGCACAGCTGGAGATTCCCCCAGCGCCGTAGTAGAACTCATCCTTATGGACTATTATGGAGGTGTGCCTGCCACAGAGAATAGAAACAGGTAAGATAAAGGAGATATTCCACCTAGCACATAAAATCAGTAGTAAATTCATGTGGTCAAGCACATCATGAAGTAAATAACCTAAGAAGACAATGTGCTTCTGTGACTAGGAACTGTACCTGCTGGGACATGAATAGAAAGGAAAGCAATAATTATCAAGCCTACTGTAACACGTAGGTGGTTGGGAAAGGAGAGGCATAGCTAGGTGCCCAAGCACAACACAAAGACAGGAACTTCCACACCAGCACAAGATATCCAGCAGCCTTTCTGCTAACGGGTTGAGGGTAAAGTTGCAGAGATAGTAGCTCTGTCTCTTCGTTTGATTCTAGAGGTTTAACCAGAACATGGCTGTATTTAATCTTACTGGCAGTCTATATTCAGAAACAGAAAGTGCATTGGTCCCTCTTCACTAAAGTGCTCTTAAGATCCAAAGCATATATGATCTCATACTGATAATGCTTCCTACACCACACATTATGCAATTCAAATCTAGTCACTTACCAGATGCCATCCAGCTGTTTCCCTGCATGCAGAAAAGAAGAAGATAGTTATTAGTAATGTATTTTCCAGCTTTCAGCCTTTCTGTCAGTCACAAGGGATCTTTACCTATCATTCCACCATGTCAGCAACCCTGAAGATAGGATTTTCACCCCAAAGTCGCTTCTAAAGCAACAGGATGCCCTTCTTTCAAATAAACGCCTTTGTCAACACAATGCTTGACTTTTTTTTCCTCCTGCACACAGATCTGTCAGTGCTATCCTGTCCTGTCAGTGCTCAGCTTTCTTGGGCTTTTGTCTGAAGAGAAACTGAACCTTTTCAGAAGAATTCAGTGTTTCCTAGAACACAGCAGCAGTAAAGATATGCTTCAGTCCCAATGATACCATGTTGCTGTCTTAGAAAAAATCCCTTCTGAAATGCTTTAGTTCCCCGACACATCTTTTCCAAGTGGGAAATGCAAACCTCTCCCCATTCAGGGTAGGATCTCAAGATGTAATCACTCTTCAAAGAGTTAGCAGCTGCTACTGCTCCTGCCTCAATCACTTCACCTATCAGAACCCAAGGGCTTGGTCCCTGGTACAGTTACCCCTTCATAAATCTGCATGCAGCAACAGCATGCTATGTTGGTGATCCACTTTTAAGTGACAGAATGTGATGTGATCATCTACAGATGCTTTCATGCACAAGGACCAAAAATATTGTGGGGCTGAGGTTGATGATGGGAGCATGAGGATACCACAGTCTTTGCAGCAGTAACTATGCCATCCCCTGGCTTTAACTCAGGATTTGGCTGCACCCCTCATTGCACTGTCTACTTTGCTTGTCTCTACAACGACACCATCACTTACTGCAATTGCATTCCCACAGCTTACATTGCTGAGAAGTGCACTGTGGCACTTTCAGAAGTCTGGAGTCAGATGCTTAGAATAACAATCAACTATTCCACTGCCAGGCACAGTAGCAGCAGTGGGATGCACTGTTCCAGTTCCCTGTCTTGCAGAAAGCCATTCCCTGCCTGCCCCTACTCAGATCAGTGGCCACAGGAGGCAGAGGCACTCGCCTGCTCCTCTGTCACATCTGCTGTGGTCTGCAAATCCCAGCAACAAGCACTTCTACCAGCTGCAGTTCTTCCTCTCAAGTAATAAGCAAGAAAATCTTTATTACCATCAGAACTGGGCAAAACAGAAGAAGGAAACAGAAGGTAGTCCTCCAGGAGTTTCAAGAAAGGGATGCTTGTGCATCCAAGTAAGAAAAAGTCACTGCTGTAATCTTCTCACTTATCTTTGGAGCAAAACAGGTACAGAAATAGGTACCTGTTTCAGATGAGGGTCACATGAGAGAGGAGGCAGGGAAAAGGCTGCTGGGACAACAAAGACATCAATCCAAGTGAGCATACCCAGTTCTGAAGTAGGTGGGCTCATCTGTCACTGCCATGCATCACAGCCAGGCAGCAAGCATGTTTCACCATTAACCTGCTGCAGAGAAACGTGGGCACAGAGCCGGCTTAAGGCCAAAAGACAGCAGCAGCAATGAGAAAAGTGGGGCAGTGTGTTGCAACACCTCAGTAGGATTTACTGCTTCTTTAGCATCCCACCCAGCTAAGCTGCATTCTCCAGCCTTTGTCCCACACCATCTCCATAACAGCTTTCGTCTTGCTCGCTGGAGCTGCCAGAAAGAAGTGATACCACCACCAGCTCATCAGTAATGTCATCTGCATAGGGTACACAGCACAGCTCTGCATTCAGCAGCTGGCCTAGGACAGGCCCTACTGCAGCCTGTGTAGCTCACGTTCTGTTAATAAGCAATTACACAATTGTTCACAATAAATCACTGTTTTCCACTAAAACTTTGATCTTCACCCTCCAGGGCAGAGAAGCAAGCTGCTTCAGAGGCAGCACAAACCAGTACTGTATCCGTGCTTTTGTATGCTAGATGGAAAAAGACTTCATATTTACTTTCAAGCAAAACACACACACTTCCAGCAAACAATAACAAAAGGCTTCCTACAGAGCTGGCACTTTGCACTGGGGCTCTGCGTGTAGGTGGAAGTCCTGGCAGATTCTGCACATGGTACTGCCTACAGCCACATGGAAAAGGGAGCATCAGACCCAGAGATACTCAGAATTGAACTGCACGGGGCCCTGGGAAATCTGCTCTCCCCACATGCACCCTGGACATGACCTCTAGAGATCCCTTTTCATCAGCATGGATTTCTGACCGTGCAAAGAGAAACAAACAGGATTCAGGGAAGGAACTTTGCACCAGGCTGTAATGCACTGCTAGAGGCTCCTCTCTGGAGCTTACACACCAAATCCATGGTTGACAACAGACAGCAGCTGCCAGGACAATAGCAGAACAGCTCTTGGCAGCTCTGCCCGAGGGTGTTATGTGAGGTCAGCCCATGGCAAAGAACTGGTTTAATGCTCTGAATGGACCTGCTGTCTTCCAGTTTGTGTGCAGCTCCTGTAAGACACTAACCAGGCTGGCACAGTGGAGAACACATGCCGGATGTGCAATGCTCCATCCACAGCAGCTGTGCAATCTGTTGCAGAGAACACAATCCCTTTCTGCCACCAGTGGACTGTGCTTGGCCAGACAGATCACTCGTGAACACCACGCAAATCTCTCCAATGACAACACAGCAGGGCAGTCCCACACTTGAGAAACCTGCTGTTACTAACCATGCCTGCACCTCCCAGAGACCAGGGACTGTCAGCGTGCTGCTGCAGCTTTCTGTGCTGCACTGCTGGCTGTGGTCACCTTAACTGCAAACCAAGAGACAGAGGAATCAAAGGCCATCAACCTCTTGAGGGACTCCCTCTCATCACTGGGATTTTTGCTGAATGACATTTGTCTGTTGCATCATCCAAGAGGTTCTACACAGACCTCCATGAACACCATTACCCTCCTCCCGAAGCTTTGCCTCTGCTGGTGATCTTGCTGTACCCTCTTACCTCAAGCCCAGCCCTTGCACAGACCAGGTAACAGCTTTCAATCACTCCCACTCCTAAGAAATGGAAGCAAAGCAATCAGGACAGCCTGTATAATGAGTTATGCCTTGCATGCATATACAAAATGCATCGCTCACAGCCTCTGCAGGTTCAACACACGCCTACTGCCCAGCCAGGTAAAAAATGTACATAACTGCAAGCTGCTAAGGGAGATCCAATATTTCAGGGGACCTCTACCTGTTAAGGAAAAGGCGTTGCAAATTTAGATGTAGGCACTCAATCACAGCAATCAGTGTACATGGTCAAGTTACCAGGTATCAGCTCTCCAGCAGTAAACGTGAAGAAACTCAGTTTCATTTCATCTGCTGCCATTACAAGCTAATGGAAGTCACATTACTTTGCTCTGGTTGCAGATCAAGAACACGGGTGTGAAAGTTGCTGTGCTATAGCTGTGTTAGGATAAGAGCTCATTAAGCTTTAGAAACCTGATCAATACATGAACTCAAGCCTTCCTTGCTCAGGCGCTTTCACAGATCTTTTCTGAAGAACATGTCAATTATACAAAGAGCTGCTTGCTTAAGCATTCCAAATTGTCTGAATGAGACAAAGTATCACTTGGCAACTAAACACATTTGTGTTGTTTTATTTATTTATTTATTTTTCCCCTTTTCCTAACACAAGTTTCTTATTTAAGCCCCATAAATAAGAGAAAAACACAACATAAAATTCATTAAACAATTTCAAGACTCCTCCCCAGCTTAGTTACAGGAATGGGGAGAACGAAGTAGTCAGACTTAGTTTTTGTGCTACTGACTTAGGAGATGGCACTCGTGTGGATAAAAGGGCATTATGAAAGAACACAAGCCTGAATAATTTTAGAATACAATCAAGTCAGATTACTTCCACGCTTGGGTTTATCTGTAAGGCCAAGCAAGAGGAAGATTAGACGCCTGCCAACCTATTTTACTGGCAGAGTTGATTTGTCAGCGTGGCCCATGTGACGTAGCATATTCCTGTGCATTTTAAACATCAAGTGAACGCAGAGTCTGCATATTAATCCCACTCATTAGACCTGAAGAGTTGAGACACCAAGGAATCATATAGAGATGGGTTCTTAGCTTATCTAACTTAGAGATTATTATGCATCCTTCAGCACAAGCATACTAGTTCCCAAGCTGTGAAGAAACAATGTGCCTGAAAGCCCAGTATTTAACATTCCTATGCCTGTAGACCCCAGAAGACAGAAAATTAGCAAATTGTTTTCCTACCAAGGCAGAACTATCTGGTCAGAAACTATTTGTAGCAGAACACTGCTTTGCATAGCACTGAGATTTCTTAAGCCACGCAATTGATTCCTGCCCTTTTAAAATGAAAAATAATTCTAATTAAATCAAACACTCTCTTCTAAGTGATACCAAACAGAAGAAAAAGACTAACAGACATGGAGGAGTCTGCATCACTTCCCTTCTTCTTGAGAGAGCAAGAAGTAGGGTAGACTGCAGGAAGGAAATGCACTTGATTTTCAATAAAGCCTAGCAAGTGCTCTGGAACAAAGCTGAAATGGAAGTCCAGTCACATTCAAATTAACATTAAATTATTACCAGATCACGTAGACGGACAGACAAACACAGTCTCAGACTGAATGAAGGAGAAGAACAGTACTTGCAAAGGAAGTAGAGCAACAGCACACAGAATGTGCCAGATGTGATATCAAAGCCGAGTGAATCCAGTGTTGGGTCATTTACACCTCAAAACAGAAACATTCATCAAAAAGCTATAGGAAATGTACAGAAAAACAGCAGGAACAAAAGGAGTCTGAGTAAAAATGAATAAACTTGCCAAGAAGTGAAGATGTGCCCAGAAGGCACAACCAAGTCACCCAAAGCATGTGATGAGCAACACTGTCTGGTTCTACTATTCAGGTTCATTCAGCCACAATGCAGAAAACTGATCCTGAATGAGTCAAGATAACTTTCAACAAAAGAGAGCTGATCCTGGAATGCTGCACCAACATAACACATACTAATAGTAAATCCTATTAGCACAGCTAAAGATATGGTGTGGTGACGCTCTCACAACAGCTAGCCTCACGAGGAGCAATTTACTCACCTGAGTATGACTATTTCAATACTCATGGCAATGTTACAGAACTAGAAGCAAAAACACTGCTTCAAACTTCACATTCTTGGAAAGAACACCATGAGGAGAGATGACAAGTGTTTAGCACCAGGTCATCCAATAAACTCTTTTTGATTTCTGTGTCCTCCCAACATGATGACAGGGGAGATGTAGGTTTAGGAGGCATTCAAGGCCAGGCTGGATGTGGCTCTGGGCAGCCTGGTCTGCTGTTTGGCAACCCTGCACATAGCAGGGGGTTTGAAACTAGATGATCACTGTGGTCCTTTACAACCCAGGCCATTCTGTGATTCTATGATGCACAGTTTATGAACGTCACTGATAGGTGAAAAAAAGAAGGAAAGTAGCTACTGGATCATCTGAAAGTTAAAGTAGCAGCAGTTTTTGTTGTTAAGTAAAGCAAAAAATAGTAGTTGGGTGCATGAGACAAACCCATCATTCTCTCATTGGGAAAATAATCTGGAAGCTTGCTGCGCCTGTGTGAAGACAGTTAAATTGAAAGGGAGGCAAACAAAAACAGCCAACAGAACAAGCTACTGTTTGTGTCATAGATAACCCAGTCACCAGATCCACGTAACCCCAAGGACCATGCACTCTGCCTTGTCACTGTGAGCAGGCAGGCCGTGCTGGCCCTGTTCCACTGGCAGGCCTTAAGTTCCTGGAGGAGCAGCACACAATACACTGCACCGATGAGAGACACGGGCAGGTTTTTAAGCTTTTCTTTTCATGACTTGACTCCTACATGTTTAGCATCAAGGCATCTCGAGCACAAAGTTACAAACTTAAAGCTGCTTGGACAGCATAAAAAGCACCAGTGATAAAGTCATGCACTGTTAGCTTTCACGGGGAAATCAGAAAGCTACCAGACCCTGAAGACAGGTGAGGAGACTACAAAGCCATCACAACTCGATTTACAGCAAGGTTTCACACAATGACACTGGCAACCGATTTCTGCACAAGTCTATACCCGGACCAACACTCTGAAACCAGACCGGTCAGTATTAGCTCAAGCAATCGAACCACGGGCCAGACAATGAAGACACGGGCCTGGATGCAGGCGCAGCCGTTCCACCGACCCGGGTCCCGCAGCCCCGCCCCGCTCAGGCCCCGTTCGGTGCTTACCCAGCATGAGGGGGCTGAGGCGGCGGGCCATGCCCTTGGACAGGTCGTACACGTACAGCTTCACAGGGTGCAGCGCCGGCGGCTCCTCCATGGGGACGCGCGGCCAGCCGCCGGAAGGCGGAGAGGAAGGGACAGAGACGCGGCACCGAACAGCCACTCCTGGGCCGGCGGTACGAATGGAAAAAGCAACGCCACCTCTGCGCGTGCGCCTCCTCACTGCCCCATTTATGCGGCGCCGCGGATCGGAGGGGCGGGGACGGAGACGAGAGGGCGGGACTTTAGCAACGTCAATCGGTCATTGGCTGAGGCTTGCCGCTTCTTCCGGGGCCGGCGTCAGAGCGGGCGGGGAGCTCCCGCCGTGTTTTCCTTCCCGCAACCAATCCTCGTGGAGATGAGGGCGTGGCTACCCGTGGGGGGGCGGGGTGAGGAGCCCTTCGCACCTCGTCATTGGTCAGAGTGGCGGAGAGAGGCGGGGATTTCAGATGAGTGACGGCCCGCGGCAAGCGGCGCGTGGCGACGGAGGTTGAGGGAGCTTTGAGCAGCCGTTCCCTCGGCGGCGGCCATGGCCGACTGGGTGTCCTATTATCGTGGCGACGGGCCGGACGAGGAGGAGGACGGCGAGCAGCAGGAGGAGGAGGGGCAGGAGGCTGTCGGTAAGATACCTTCCCCTCGGCCGAGGGCAGCTCGGGGCTGTGGTCCCTCAGTGGATGCCCCGGCCGTTGACGCAGCTGCCTTTTCCCCTCAACGTAGCGGACCACAGGTTCTCCGGGCGGGACAGCTTGATTTTCTTGGTCGATGCCTCCAAGGCCATGTTCGAACCCTACGAGGATGAGGAGGCAGTCACTCCCTTTGACATGACCATGCAGGTGAGGAACGCAGGGTGGTTGTGGCTCCCAGGGCGTTCTGCCTTCAGCACGCAGGCTGCTCATAGGAACTGCTGATTGCCAAAGGCAGCATTTTGTACTGTTACTGCCACTCGTTTTCTTCACGTTTTGACTTCTGTGCTTTCTTTTCAGTGCATCCGGAATGTGTACACCAGCAAAATTATTAGTAGTGACAAGGATCTGTTGAGTGTTGTGTTCTATGGCACGGAGAACAACAAGAACTCTGCAGACTTCAAGCACGTCTATGTCCTTCAGGAGCTGGACAATCCAGGTAGAGGAGTAAAGGGGTGTGAAGATTGCGTGAGGACATCTGTGTAGTGTTGCTAGTAACTGGCCTCTCTGAAAACAGCTGTTAAGTAAATGGAAGAGTTCTTGTTTCTGAGATGTGTTTTGAGAGGATGGGAAGCTGCACTGAGGAAAGTGACCTGGGGATGTTAGCTGACAGCCATCTGAATGTGAACCAGCAGTGTGCCCAGGTGGCCAAGAAGGCCAACGGCATCTCGGCTTGTATCAGCAATAGCACAGCCAGCAGGAGCAGGGAGGTGACCGTCCCTCTGTACTCAGATCTGGTGAGGCTGCACCTCAAGTGCTGTGCTCAGTTCGGGGCCCTCACTACCAGAAAGACATGGAGGCCCTGGAGTGTGTACAGAAAAGGGCAGCAGAGCTGTGAGGGGTCTGGAGCACGAGTCTGATGGGGAGCAGCTGAGGGAACTGGGGATGTTCAGTCTGGAGGAGGCTTATTGTTCTCTATGGCAACCAGAAAGGAGGTTGTAGTGAAGTGAGGCTGGCTTCTTCTTCCAGGTAACAGTGATAGGGTGAGAGGGAATGATCGTTCAAGTTGTCTATGAGGAAAAATCTGCTCTGAAAGAGCAGTGTTGCAGTGGCACAGGCTGCCTGGGGAGGTGGTGAAGTCACTGTCCTTGGAGGTGTTCCAGAACTGTGAGGCTGTGGCACTGAGGACATGGTCAGTGGACATGATGGGGATGGGCTTATGGATGGACTAGAGGATCTTATTGGTGTTTTAAAACTTTAATGATTAAATGATTGAGTAATGTAGAGGAATTTTAAAAACATTGTGGGAGCTTAGCCTTTTCTGTTATACCTGGTTCTGATTCCCTTTCTATGTCTGTTTTGTTTTTTTTTAATCTATTTTACTGTGGTCATCCTCTTGCTGTCTCTTAAAGAGGATCTCAGCAGAACTCTTGAAGACCCATCATGTGCTGGCCACACTTCAGAATAAGGCTCAGACTTGATAAGGCACCACAAATTACAACTAATGGAGAATATCACAGAATCACGGAATGGCTGAGGTTAGAAGAGACCTCTGGAAGCCATCTTTATGGTGGGAAGCCCCCACCTTCAATCAGGGTCAGTTAGAACAGGTTGTATAATTCGTTAACTGGGTGTTCTTTCTCTTATTTTCATAACAAATTCTTGATATTTGCTCTTCCATTTTTGTTAGGATTACACAGAATGTGCTTGTTAACAGGAGTGCCAGTTGATAAATTGGAGAAGATACCAGGGGGAGTGCAACAAAGACAAAGAGCTACAAATTCTGTGGCAGCTGAGAGTCTTGTAGGGGAACTCTGTTAACTGGCTTTTAATAGCTCTCTGTATCTCTGGGGGGGTTTCATTTCATTTTCTTAATTAGGAGTTGCAAGCTAGTGTTCTTGCTCTCATTCTTTAGTAAGCCTGGGTTTCCTTGCAAGAACTGTGCCTTGTCCTGGTTTTGGAACTAATTGCAAGTGGGACTGACAAGACTGCCCTAGGTTCTTCTTCCTTCTTTGGCAGTATATGAGGCTTCTCACTCATCTTTTTTCCTTCTCCTTCCCTGCTTGCCCTTTTTCTCTGCATTAGAGGTAGTAGCTTTGTCCTGCTTATAAAGATAGCTAATTTGAAAGGGAGATGTTTGGAAAAGGAAGTGTATTTGCTGTCATTGGAGAGATGTGTGCTCTGGAGAAGGGAGACATCATAGTTAGCTATTATGTAGTTATTATGAAAATTAATATTATTAATTAAAGGAAAGTTGAACATGAAAATAGCAAATGCACAAACAAGACATTTTTGGGCGTGATTTCAAGATTGCTGTTGAATTTGAGTGAAGAATGAAAGAAGCAGCTCTGCAGATTGCAGCAGCTGAAAAATGAAAGCTTATCCTCTTTTGTAGAGTTGTAGAAGAAGACAGGAGAATTACTTTCAGAGAAAAGTGGGTGGGAGAAGGAGTCATAGTTGGGCTGGAGTGATCCATAGGGATTTCAAAAGGCCATTGGCACCTGCTCTGAACATTGCTGAAGCCCTCGTGGTTATCTATGGGCTGAATCCAATGTCTGGAGTGATACTGCAGGCATGCAGTGCAAGGGAGCAGGAGGAATTCTCTCTCTCCCCAACCTGCCATGGAGATGCAGGATGTATTTCAGCCTTGTTGCTTTTTTGCTGGCAGCACAGCGATCTGCCATTCCTCTGCAGTGGGTGCAACTGCTGTGTTCCTTGATGAGAACTTATTCTTTTGATGCAGAGGGTTCATGATACTTTGATTCCTGCATGTTTCCTGCAACAGAAGTGCCCCACACTTATGCTGGGGCACTTTGCGTTCTCTTGGCCTTTGCAGGTGCTTTCAACTGATAACCAGCTTACAGTGTTGAAAATTAACACAGGGTATCTCAAACAGTTTTCTCAGACAGGCGGTAGAAAGGCACCACTGTAGAGCTGCTAAAGGATGTTAATCAGATAACAGCTGCAGGAAACTCTCAGTGCTTCTTTAGAAGAGTTTGCAGTACTTCTTTCAGAATTTCTGATGTTTGCAAATGCTATTATTTCCCATAGGTGCAAAGCGTATTCTAGAGTTGGACCAATACAGGGGAGATGAAGGACGAGTACTTTTCCGTGAGTCCTTTGGCCACAATGCTGACTATTCACTGGGTGAAGCACTCTGGGCCTGCTCTAATCTCTTCAGCGATGTCCGAGTCAGACTGAGCCACAAAAGGATCATGCTTTTCACCAACGAGGATAACCCTCATGCCAATGATAGTGCTAAGGCCAAGCTGGCCAGGACCAGAGCTGGTGATCTGAGAGACACAGGTCAGTATTCTCCCCTTTAACTTAAGTTCTGATTACAGGCAGAATAGAAATGATGTGACTTTGCAGCAGGTATTAACTGCATTGCAAGGTTGTGCTGGAAAAAAAAAACTGTAAAACATCAAAACTAAGGAAACTTTCTGATGCTTTCTATGAAGGCTGACTTCAAAAATAATGCCTTCTATTATGTTGGCCCACAATGTCAGAGGTGGATGTTGGTGCTGCGGTCTTAGAGGTTGAAGCTTCCCACAAATATTCTGTGGCATCTTGTTGCTGTGTGAGAGCAGAGGGGCAGTCTGACAAAATGGTGTGTGACATGGAGGTGCACGTGAAGAAAAGATGTGTCATTGAATTCCTCCATGTGGAAAAAAAGGCACCCATTGACATTTATCAACACTTGCAGAATGTTTATGGGGACCAAAGAGTGCATGTGAGCACAGTGGGGCAGTGGGTGGTGCGTTTTAGCAGTTGACCATGAAGGACAAGGCATGTTCCACACAGCCATGCACAGCTGTCACAGCACAAAATGAAGAGTGCCTCAATCATCTCACCCCTGTGAATCGTCAGATTACATCCGGGGAACTGTGGGCAGATCTGAGTATCAGCTTCGATGCATTGGAAACGGTGTTGCCAATGATGTTGGCAAAATTTGTGCCAGCTGGGTCCCATGAATGCTGACACAGGAGCAGAAGGAACATCATATGCAAGTATATCAAGACCTGTTGAACCAATAGAGGCTGAACAGTTTCCTGTATTGCATCATTACTGGTGATGAGATGTGGTGTCACCACTACAAGCTGGAGTCAAAAAAGGCAGTCCATGGAGCAGCAACTTGTAGATTCACATAGAGGAAAAGGTTTAAGATATAGTCTTTAGCAGGTAAACTGTTGTGTGGTCTTTTGGGATGGGAAACTGGTGGTTCTTATGTATTTCTGGGAACTTGGGCAATTAACTCTGACTGCTGCATCGTGTTGCTGACTGAGCTGAAAGCTCAAACTTCCAGAGTCAGACCAGAGGAGACGACAGCCTTTCTCTTGCAACACAGTAATGCCAGGTCCCCTGGCAGTTTGAGGGCTGTGAAGCACATTTCAGTCTTGGCTTCAATACGAGTCAGACTGGACTGAACTGTGCTACTACACCCACTGATTAGTCCAGATTTGGCACCTTCTGACTTCTATCTGTTCAGGCTGATGAAGGGTGGACTGTGTGGGCAACATTTTACTAGCAACAACCAACATAACAG